TTTTTTTTTTTTTTTTTTTATAATTAAGGTGCTTCTTAATTAATTTTTGCTTATTTTTAGACTTAACTTCTTTTTGAATGATTTTTAAAACGCATCTTATATTAAGTTTTTATATTAAAAAATTATTTTTTTAAATATTAACTTTCAAAAATTAAAACTTAAATCTAATTGATAAAACTATATTTATTTATTAATAAACGCAACTTTGGTTTCCTTGTACTTCATTGTAACCGGCAATAAGCGCTCCTATAATTTTTCAAGAAATCGGACCCTCGGTTGTTTTGCGGAGTTGTGAAAGTATAGAGGGCGGCTGGCGATCGAAAATTCATGTAGGTTATTTTTCCTGAGTACAGTTTACCCTCGTCTTTAGGCTAAGTATCTCTCATCTCATTTACGGAGTTTTTTTTTTTAAAAAAAAACAAAACAAAACAAAACGAAAACCTCTAATTTACAGCCATTGCCCTTATTTGGCTAAGATCAAAGTCAAGTGTGTGGTGAAGAAAACGTCACAGTCCGTAAAATACTGTTCTGTTGACAATTTTTTCCGTTTAGGTAATATTGATTGATGTGATATCTTTCGGCGATTAATTTTTTTCACTAACTCTTTAATGCAAAAATGCAAAACTCTATTGGAGCTTTTATGGTACCATATCTACTTCGGTAAATTTCTTTTTGTACTTTAAAAGTTCACCTTCAGTCGAGAACCTACGGAAATATTACAAAAATGGAAACCTGAATGCGTAAACCCCATATATAAAGCCGACCGGTCTTTGATTTAAGTGATTGACCTTTAAATTTTAAAAATATTTAAATTAATCGATTAAAATTTTAAATTCTATCAATATTTTAAAAAAATCTCACCCCTCTGCATTGTATATTGTTTAAAAAAAAAAGAACCCCATATACAAAGCAAATTTGCGTGTTGGAAGGAACGGTGAACATCGAAATCCAAACTTCCCTCTAACAGTCAAACAAGCAATGAAATTTGGCACGGAGAAGTGCACCAAAGCCAGAGCGTGCACCTTTCTTCCTTACACAACAAAAGAAAATGATTTAAAAATAAATTTTTATATTACTTTTTAATATAATTTTATATATTATTTAAATAATTAATTTTTAGTATTTATTTAAAATTTATAATATTAAATAAATATTTATTTAATAATATATAAAATCTATATTAAAAAATTATTAAAAAAAATTATTCTTAATTATACCGCTGCCTGAATAACCATAAAGCATCACCAGCAAATTAGCCTTCTCACAACCAAGACATCTTATTTAATTACAATCCCGGAGGGGTAAAAAAAGAGGTTTTAGTGATACTCCCGATAACCTCTGCAAAACTAAGCAGAGGGCAAAACCACCAATTTCCCAGCTACAGCCAAAACCCACCACCAAAACATCTTGGTTGGTGATTGGTTCTTATTACTCATTTATATAACTACAAGTACTAGAACGTGCTTCAACCAAGAACAATTTCACATAAGATATGTATGCCAGGATATGTATAAGTAATGTAACTTAGTATGCCCAAGACCAGAAGGCATGATCTTCAACAGGGAAGCCAAAATTACATGAATTGGCGGCAGGTGAGTCGGGGTAATCATCGTCTTCAACCTTTGGGAAGATGCATGGATGGTGCAACATGCTTTTGCCGAGGATATCTTCCTCATCTTGTGATAAATCAGACTGGTCAGGTTCGAAGACATAGGATGAATCACAAGCCTCCAAGAGTGAAGAATGAACCCCATCAGTGTAAGGTGGACTATCTGAATCAAATAGGTCACTTTTGGCTGAACTAATGTCTTCCTGTTTACAGACTACAAGGGAAACCTTGGACCCTTCACCCTCATAAGCTGATTCCTGTGCAATTGGCTTTTCTTGTGGTTCTTGAGACAAGGAGTCCATATCAGAGACATCTGAATTCCCTTTCTCCTTCTCTTTCAGGAGAAACTTATCTGTTAGTTGAAGAACCTGTAATTGATTTTAATCAAGAATGTAGGTTACCCCCTTATAAAGAATCCAAATAAGAATAAGCTTGATTGAAATATTGGATTCATCGAGATAACTTCTCAAAGAATTAATTGAAAAGATAGTAAATATTAATAGATGAAAAAGGTTGTACCTCTGCTTTCAGCTTATCTTTTTCCTTGAGGAGGTTGTTGTACTCCGCCTTGAGGCTGTCATAGCTGGCTTGTAAGGCCGCATAGTCCTTCTCCAGCTGCTTTGTCTTCCACCGCGCCCGGCGATTTTGGAACCAAATGGCAACCTGACGGGGCTGCAATCCAAGGTCTTTGGCGAGCTGGATTTTCCTCTCGGGTTCAAGCTTGTTCTCCACCTCAAAACTTTTCTCGAGAAACTGGACTTGATCGACTGTGAGCCTTCTTTTCTTCTCAGGTTGGTGGAAATACTCGTCCAAGTCCTCGTCGTCTCCATTCTCTCCGTGATCAAATGCACGAAAAAATGGGCTTTGAGTTCCCTTAGCTCGCTGAACATCTTCAAAACACATTATTGATCTTGAACCTAAGATACAAAGTCAAGCAAAATACTGTAAGACCTAAGGAGTACACAACATTCAAAGACAAGTATATGTTAAAAGATGGTAATAATTACGATTCAACAATTAACTGAAATGAATTTCAATAAAGAACGGTACAACCAATTATTTCTCTGACGCAAAACAAAAACAAACCCCAATTGCACAGAGGTAGAGAAAGTCTTCCAGAAATGACAGTTGAAGTAAAAGAACCTAAAACTAGCCAACTTAGTAGAACAGATTGTACCAAGAAAGGCAGAAGGAGAAGAGCCAGAGAGGATAAGGGTATCCAGAGGCTCAGCAGAAGAAGGAACCCTTCGGTTATGGAGAAGAACAGAGAGATTGGAAGCTCCACTTCTACTAGTATTAGGATAGACCCTCCCACCCGCCATTTGTTCGAGCTATTGCCTCACTAGTATTTCAAGAACAGACGACCATCACGATCTGACCATTCAACGGCCTTGATTCCAATTTCTTTTTCACGGATATTGAACTTCAATTTTTGTGGCGAAAGAAGCTAGTTATGATAACTTGGGTGATGTGGGATGGGTGGGAACCGCGGGAGCTCACACCCATCACTCAGAAGAAGTAGAAAAAAGAGACGAACTAGTTTTGTTTGATCGTTGAGAGAAGTTTTAGGAAGCACAGAAGAAATGGTGAAGAGATGGAAGAACAGAGAGACGAGAACACAGAGATCTGTTTTCCGTTTTTCTTTTCATTTTCCACTTTTTTTTTTTTTTTTTTTTTTTTTTTTTTTTGAGGGGGGTTGTAATGGAGTATGATACATTTATATTGAGTCCAGGAAATGGGATCTTCTGGTCAGAGAGGAAATGGTGTGATTGTAGATACTTAAATGCCCTTCCTTTTTCTTTTGCTTTGGTAAGCGCCTTTTATTACCCAAAATGGAGTGTATATGGATCAGTAGTAACGTAGAGGCATCCGACGAGTGTTCTCCCAAAATTATAGTAATAAATCCAAGGAAAGAAAAGTTTTTATCTCAGCAAGAAGAAACCTCTGTCAGCGCACCTTTCTTAAAGCAAGATAGTCTCACATGACTGGAAATTCTGCTATAAATAGAATATTTAAATTCTTATAGCATTTTAGAGAAACTTTATGTATTTTATAAATACTCTAACTTTAGACTATTTGGTATAAATGTATAATGATTAAAATCTAACAGATAATGAACAGTAAATGTTGATTAGCACAATACAAATAGCAGATGATGAATAGTATAGAGTGACGATTGATTGTAAATAGTGAATAACAAATGACAAATGATAAATTGTAAAAAACAAATTTTATTTAGTATAAACATTTAGTTATTATTTACACCACAATTAGTAAATTTTAAAATGATGGCATGTGTCTATAGAGCGGCTATGATCTTCTCTAAATTAATGATCTTCTCTAAATTAATTTAAAAATAATTGACTGTGATATGTGCATTAATGCTTCTTTTGAGAATATTTTCTGATGACACACCTTAGTGACAACAATGATGATTTTGATGGGTTGAACCTTCGGCATTTTTGGGTTTGGATCATTAGGCCCACGAGGAGATCAAGCCCAAATGATATTTTTGGATTTGGATTTTATAGATAAGTTTGACCATGCTTATGTAGCCGAGAAGGACACTTAAATTAAATTAAATTGGTTTTCTTCTTCATCGGATTGCACGGAATCTCCAGATTTTGGAAATGAAAATTGATATAGAGATTGGACAGTGTAATTGCAACACACCTTTGAACCATCTTTTCTCTTCGAATTGACTTGCAAAGCCATGAGATTAAGTCTTGGGGTAAACTCTTTGATATTTAAGTTAGCAATAATTTGGTCTACTCTAAAAGAGAGCAAAAAGAAAGCTTTATGTCGGTTTCAAGTATCTGTAGCAGGTGATTTTTAGGGGATATTTATAGGCCTTAATGAGGTATCCATGTGATATTCTTAGTGAGATAATCAAGATCCAACATGACCATTAGAGTGAACATGTCGAAAACAGAGATTGGATAATTAAGTGCATTCTTATTGTAGCTATCATGCAATTGAAAAGACCTCAACAGAGGACATACCTCGATTGTTGAGTGATTTCAGCTTAAACTTGGCTCAAGAAGGTGGTCAACAATCTTACTAATATGTTCATAATATGTTTGAGATCATTGATCTCGGATCTACACTTACACTTCCCCCCTCCAAAAATCATTCACTTGTGAATGATGAGGTTATAGTGAGTATCTAACATTGAAATGGATATGAGGATATAAAGTAGCCTAAAATAAAAGTCCATGACTATAGTTAGGTGTTAACCAAAGCAGAGGTAAAAATCCATGACACATGGCCATGTGTTTCTGGTTGTAGCCAAAGTGAAAATTAACATGTAATCATGTGTTTTGGTCATAGCCGAGGTAAAAATTCATGACATGTAGTCATATGTTTTTGGCTATAACTAAGGTAAAATTTCATGACATGTAGTCACGTGTTTTTGGCTACGGTAAAGGTGAAAATTCATGACATGTAGTCATGAGTTTTTCACTTGAGCCGGGGTAAGAATTTGTGGATGGTAACAAGTAATGCCTAATTTGAGATGTAATTATAATGCTTGGGCTAAGCTTCAATGGGCCTGTTTAATTTGTCAGTTAACAATTGTCTTTAGGGAATGTGTTGCAATAAATTATTACAGTTAGAAATAATCGTCAAATTCAAAAGGGCATGATCTCAGCCATTAAATGGGGCTGATAATGATTGTTGAAGGCTTTAGGGCTCGGGTATAAACACGAACACTTGGGGTGATTTTTAGTTAATGTGTGATATTATTATCGAAATACTACCAAAATTTCACTAGAGCTATAATAGTGTCCAAGCTTTTTTTGTGTTCAAGCCAAACAATCAACTTTGAAATTTTCTAAAACGAGTTTCAAACCAGTGAGCCTGGCCTCTCTAAGAATGAGATCTCTAACATTGAAAGTTCAAGGTCGAACTCATTTGTTGTAGAAGTTGGCCAACTTTTGTTTGCAAGATAAAGTTTGAGGTCAAGCCTCTTCTCGGACTTCATCAAGCAAGTCTAGGCTTTCTCAAAGCAATTGTCCATTTTGTGCCTCATCAAAATGACTGATATTCAAGTTTGGGACTCTTATCTTAATAGGAATTGTTGCTTCGATTCTAAAAGTCAAGTGGTAGGGCATTTCACCTAGTTGAATAAATTAACATTTTAGTATTTACTTTATATGTTATGCATGTTTAAATTATGGCTGTCATGTGGTAAATAAAAGAAAAGGCTAAAATGAAATAAAGGAATGAGGTTAAGTATTGGTACCTGTGACTATTCGGCTTGTAGTTCAGTAAGCCCATACAACATTATTGAGCTCATCTACCCACTTGGCTTTTAACTGTTCCAACCTCAGCTTGATACCTTGTAGAATGACTTTATTAACTAATTCCACCATTCTATTAGCCTTTGGATGATATACTGAGGTGAAATACAACTTGATTCCATAGAGGGAGAAAAATTTCTTAAAGGAAGCACAATTGAATTGAGCCTCATTATCAGTAATTATCTAGTTCAAAATCCTATATTTGCATATTATTGAGTTGAATGTAAAGTTTTCTATCTTTTTTGAAGCCAAGCTAGACAAAGGACAAGTTTTCATACACTTCGTAAAGTAGTCCATAGCATCGATCAAGTGTGTTATACCTCTTATCCCTTTCACGATGGTCCCAAAAGATCAATATTTCATTGGGCAAATGACCATGGTGCTACCAAGTTGGTGAGCTCTTCAGCTGGTTGATGGGTGAGGTGTGTTAAAAGTTGGCATTTCAAGCATCTCTACGCAAATTCCTTTGCATCTTTTTGCATGTTGGGCTAGTAGTATCCCTACCTGAGGACTTTGTGAGCTAGGGTTATTACACCCACATGGCTTTCACATACGCCCTCATGCACTTCTTGAAGGGCGTACTCAGACCTTTTATAAAGAGAACCATCAATCAAAGTCTATTGAGATACCTTTTTCCTCAACTTCAAATCCTTTTGCTTATCACTTGGAATTGAGCCACCTTCAAGATAAGACTTGAGTGGGTCTGTCTAGTTTAGAATACTTGGGTCTATGTTGATCTCCATTGACCTCATCTTTTGAAAACTTGGCTCATTAAGTACTTTGATATAAACCAATGTTGTCCCATTAGAATTGCCAAAAGCCAATTTTGATAGGAAATCTGCTTTTTCATTCTTAGCTCTCGGTATTTTTGTAAGTCAAAAATTTTTCAAAGTGGCATTTCAACTCAAAAATCATAACAACATACTTTACTAGTGTTGGCTCGACTATTTCACACATTGAATTCACTTAATTTACCACTGACTAGGAGTTACTGTAAATCTGAATAACTTTGACCTTAAACTTGGCTACTAGTTGAAGTCTGAGAAGTAATGCTTCATACTCAGCCATGTTACTGGTTGCCTTAAATATTAAACTTAAGAGTATGTTCACTTCGAAACCCCTCTAGACCAATTAACACTGCTCTAGCTTTTGAACCCCTACAATTAAATACTTTGTCCACATATAAAATCCATGTGTTTACCTTAGGAGCGGAAATTGGTTGGTTCAAAGTGCATTTGGCAATAAAATCTACTAATGCTTAAGCCCAGATTGTGGACTTCTATTGAATTGCTATCTCAAATTCCCTTAATTCAACCACCCACTTGATTAACCTACACAAGCATTTTGGCTTTTAAAGAATTTGCCTAAGAGGTTGATATGTAAGTATAATAATGGGATGAAATTAAAAGTATGGTCTTAACTTTCGAGCTGAGGTAACAACTACAAGGACTACCTTCTCAGCAATTGGGTATATCTACTAAGCCTTTTGTAATACTTTGTTGATGTAATAGATTGGCTTTTGTTGACTTCCTTCTTCTTGCACAAGTGCAACATTTATTGTTTCATTTGAGATTTCAACGTATAAATAAAGAATTTCACCATCATCGACTTTAGTAAATAGAGGTGGTGAGTTAAGATAAAACTTGATCTCATTAAAAGCATTCTAATGTTTTAAGATCTACTCAAACTTCTTTAACTTTCCTATATCATCTTTCTAAGTTGCTGATCTCATGACCTTGAACAAGGAAAAACAATTTTTGGTGAACTTTGAGATGAATATGTGTAGAGCTGCTATGTATAGTCAAGTGTTAAATATCTTTGATAGATTTCAAAGGTTTCGTTTCTTCTATAGCCTTAATTTCTATGAATTGACCTCTATCCCCTTCTTAGAGACCTTGAACCTTAGGAATTTGCCAAATTGAATACAAAAAATGCATTTTGCAGGGTTTAATCTCATTTTGTTATTTCTTAAGTTGTTAAATATCTCATATAGGTCAGTTAAATGATCTTTTACCTTCAGATATTTTATCATAGTATAATCTATGTAGACCTCCAAATTCCTGCCTATCTGAGCTTGGTAGACTATTGTCACCATTTTCTGATATATAGCACTTGCATTTTTTAGCCTAAAAGGCTTCATTACATAGTAGTACATTTCATTTCTTGCATAAAAAGAAGTCTTTTCTTTATCTTCAATGGCTATGTGAACCTGATGATAGCCTACATATGCATCTAGGAGACTTAGCCTTTTATTCCTTGAAGTTGCTTCAGCCAGCTTGTCTATGTTTGGCATTGGATAACAATCTTTTGGGCAAGCTCTGTTGAGGTCATATAATCAATACATATCCTCCATTTGCCATTGGACTTCTTGACTAGAATGAGATTTG